TCACTATCTATACACACATTACCTTAATCTCGCGTCTCGTTGTCCCCTCTTATATATACCAAACTACCCTATATCTAGCAAATACTAGAGCATTCGCCAAGATACGGTATAGTTCTAGAAACGTGTCGTCACTGTAGTCATGTGATCTCGATGACGCAACAATATATAACCTAAAGTCCTTTTTGCCCTGCCACTATTTGTTTGTTTGTTTGTAATCAAGCACAAAGCTACACAATGGGCTATCTGTGCTCTGCCCACCACGGGTATTGAAACCCGGATTCTAGCGTTGTAAGTCCGCAGACATACCGCTGTACCACTGGGAGGCACCCTGCCACTAACAATAGCAGTTTGCTTAAGTTGCCTAAGAGACTGACCAACCAGAACACCAAGATCTTTTTCTTCCTTAGCACTGTAAAGGTTATTCCCATCATGATTATACTTATAATTCAAAGTGTGATATCCCATAGTTATTACCTTACATTGATTATAATTAATAGTTATCTGCCAATTATTTGCTCAATCCAGTAAATAATTTAAATCTCTTTGTAAAGCAGTTGCATCCACCTCACAGCCTGCAACACCCAAGACTTTAATATCATCAACAAATTTAAATAATCTGTTGACCATTCTTTCATTTATGTTATTGTTGTAAATCAAAAAGGGCAAAGGTCCTGACATTGAGCCCAGAGGTTCCCCACTTGCAACATTAATCCAGTTTGACTGAACTCTATCTATCACAGTCTTCTGCTTTCTTACATCTTCAAAAAATGTAAAGAAATTGGTATTTCCCCAGTGACTCTATCCTGAATATCCAACGAAATTTTAAACTTTGTTAAATGATTTCGCAAAGCACCTTTTATCAGACTTTTCCCACCACTGATGTTATATTAATAAACCTATAATTACCATGACAATTTTTATCACCTCCTTTGAAAGAGGATTAACATTAGACAACTTCTAATCTTCTGGCACCCATTCACTATTCAAGGACTTAGATAAAAAAAAAAAAACCAAATGGATCAAATATCCAGTCCTTAACCTCTATCAAAACCCTTGGATAAATATTATCTGGCCTAGGAACTTTATCATTCTTTAAACTTCCCAATTTTGTCTTAACCCTTTGACTGTTTTAAATGTGCTTGAAATTTTTGTGAGCCATACACTGTATACAGAACACTCGCATTCAAGTGCCAGAGGTGGACTGTACCCTAAACAGCAGTCAGTGGGTTAATAAGTTCAGAATTAATGTGATCATTTTGTTCAATATTGTTTCCACCTGTTTAGGATGAGGAATATTCCATAAATCTTCATCAGTAAAAACTGAAGAATAATTTAATAACTAAGCCACCTCATAATCATCATTTATTAATCTTATCATTCCTCAAAAGCCCTACTCCATCCCCCTTAATGTATTTGTAGAAATACTTACTATTAATTCTTACATTTTTAGTCAACCCTTTTTCCTATAGTTTTTTATTTCTTAATTTCCCATCTCTTCTGTTCTTCTATAATCCTCCAAATCTCCAACCAGTCAACTTAAAATTATTTTATTTAATTTTATCCTTTATACCCATTGTGAACCAACCTGGGTTTTTACTTCCAGATACCCTTTTTTTTTCTAAATGGAATATGTTTATCTTGAATTTACTTTTAAAACTATTTCCATATTTAATCAGCATCTCCAAATAATTAGGTGGCCCGATTCACAGAAGGTTTGTTTGTTTGTTTTTAATTATGCACAAAGCTACACAAGGGCTATCTGTGCTCTGCCCACCACGGGTATCGAAACCCGGTTTCTAGCGTTGTAAGTCCGCAGACATACCGCTGTGCCACTGGGGGGCTCACAGAAGGTAATTTTTGTCTCATTATTTCTTATTTCCATATGAAAGAAAACATCAAATGTAATTGAGTAATTATCAGATGATCCCTAGTCTCCACTCTATCAGTCATTTCTCTATTAGAAGTTAACAATAAATCTAAATTAGTATTCTTCCCAGTAGGTTCCCTAAACATTTGAAGAACAGTTTCTAAAACCCCGTCTTCCCTCACGGGGA